AGACAGGGTTTCTCTGTGGCTTTGGAGCCTGTCCTGGAACTAGCTCAGTAGACCAGGCTGGTCTAGAACTCACTGAGATCCGCCTGCCTCTGCCTCCTGAGTGCTGGGATTAAAGGCATGCGCTGCCACCACCACCCGGCCCCGAGATATTTTCAAAATACAGAGCTAGTTCCAGGACAGGCTCCAAAGCCACAGAGAAACCCTGTCTTGAAAAACCAAAATAAATAAATAAATAAATAAATAATTAAACTTGGATGGGGGTGGAACCAGCAACTAGTTGACAAGAATTAGCTATAGAGAGTATGGAGGACCTAGAAGATGGAAAGACACACAGGAAGGAGTAGGGAGGTATACAGGCTTTTTATTTTAGGCTACCAACCAGCTCCCAAATCACGACACAGACTTATTGATTAATGCTTGGCTTTATCTTATGCTAGTCCCACCAGCTCTCATAACTTAACCTGTTTGTCTTCATCTACATTTGCCTCAGGGATTTTTACCTTTCTTTCTTTCTTTCTTTCTTTCTTTCTTTCTTTCTTTCTTTCTTTCTTTCTTTCTTTCTGTATGTTTATTTTCGCTGCTTCTTATGTCTGGCTGGCTGGTGACTGCCCAACTTCTGGCCCCAGGTGTATCCCTTTTGCTTTCTTATTCAATCCTCCTCTTCTTTGCCTAAATTTCTCCTCCTACTTATTCTCTCTCCCTGCCAGCCCTGCCTAGTCCTCTCCTGCCTAGCTATTGGTCATTCAGCTTTTTATTTGACCAATCAGATGCCGTAGGCAGGCACAGTGAAACAAATGCAACACATCTTTACATAGTTAAACAAAGGCACCAGAAACAAATGTAACACGTCTTTATAGCATTAACAAAGTCAGCATAAACTAATGTAACACTTCTTTATAGCATTAACAAAGTCAGCATAATCTAATGTAACATTTCTTTGCCCTGAACACTCCATAATGGAGAGGAACTTAGAGATTCTTGGGCCTTTTTGGTTGGGGAAAGGAGAGATGCCCCTTTGCTGGGTCTCAGGCCAAAAAGGTTGCTTCTTGGCTTTTCTGATCTAGCAGGTTTTCACCTCGATATCTGACTCCCCAGTATTTATTGGTAAATAGGCAATTTAGATAAAAACACCACCTCTGCTATTTCTCAGTCCTGGCTGCTATCTGTCACTACTACTTCTGTGTTGTCTCAACATTCTCGTCTCCTCGCTCTTTCAGTGTGCCAGCCCCTGAGGAATCAGTTTCCTGTACTTACAACTCCTCCACTGAGACACATGATGTACTCTCTGCTTTTAAGACCAGACCCCGTCTTAAAAGATTATCCTCATGGTAGAATGGATACACATGCCATAGACACACACTGAAATAAGAAAAAACGAGTCTTCTAAAAAAGAAAGAAAGAAAGAAAGAGAGAGAGAGAGAGAGAGAGAGAGAAAGAAAGAAAGAAAGAAAGAAAGAAAGAAAGATAAAGAAAAATGAGTCTCCCAATTAATGTTGAAAGAAACAATCACTGACTGGGTGTGGTCACACACACACCTTTAACCAGTACTCAGGAGGCAGAGGCAGGTGGGGCCACATAGTGAGGAGGAAGAAGAGGAGAAAGATGGGGAGGAGGGGAGGAAGTAGTCCCATCTTCATTCAGACCTTACTTCAGCTCTATAAAGTTTCAACGCTGAGGCTGGGCGGTGGTGGCGCACGCCTTTAATCCCAGCACTTGGGAGGCCGAGGCAGGCGGATCTCTGTGAGTTCGAGACCAGCCTGGTCTACAGAGGTTCCAGGACAGGCTTCAAAACCACAGAGAAACCCTGTCTCGAAAAACCAAAAAAAAAAAAAAAAAAGTTTCAACGCTGAGAATGTTATAGTGTTTTATTGTTGCACACATAGGTGATAAAAGTATAATAAAAAGGAAGGAAACAGTTATCATAAGTCAGGATAGGATAAAGAACAAGCAGGTCCAAACAATATCGAGCTGGGAGATAGCCAGGGGTAGAGTACTCTCCTAGATGTGCAAGGCCCTGAGTTTAAATCACACCACAAGGAAAAACACCTTACCAGACATCTTCCTTATCAAGATGTGCGGCTGCATAAAGGCATAGACCAATGGGCAAAACAGAGACCCCAGCTATAGACTCTTGGATATATGGCCAAATCATTTCATGTGCACGACAAGACTAGTCAATAGGGGGAGAGACAGTACCCGACACTACTTCACTTAAAGTGGAGGGCATGGTGGTGCACACCTTTGATTACAGCACTCAGGAGGCAGAGGCGGTTGGCGAAATTTGGTCTACAAATGGACTTCCAGGCCAGTCTGAGCTATATAGTGAGACAGTCTCAAAACAAAAACAAAACCCAAAACAATAAAACAAAACCCAAAAACATTCAAAGGCAATGCTTTCTAGGATTTGACACCAAAGACCCAGCCAACAAATGGAAAAAAAAAAAAAAAAACTTCATGGAAGCTTAAGTTTTTTGAATTAAAGGACAGTATCGATCATTTTAAAAGACAGCCTACAGAATGGGAGAAAATGGCGCAAATCCGATCTGATAAGGCATTGCTTTCCGTGAAGTCTTATGCTGCACGTTAACCGGAGCAAACCAACTGATCACGAGCTTGTTCAAATCCTGGAGCTGGTTTATTCGAACGAAGCCAGCGATCAGGATTATGAAGAACAGCATGGAAGACAACCGGTAGCAGAGAAGCCTTCAGTCCGGCCCAATTTAAAAGCTAACCATTTTTGACCGGGCCCGCCTGAGGGCTGCAGCAACGAAGGCAGCCAAAGGGTTAACCCTTAAATCTACTGGTCGTTGAGGTGGCTGCTACTGAGAACCACCGTGGAGTCCAGGCCACCTAACTGCCAGTAACCCCATATCCCCGTCCTGGGTGGTTCCAGGTTCTGGACTCAGATGGTTTCCCTGGGTTCCCATCCTCCACCCGCGGAGACACTGGCTTGCTGGCTACCGCAAACGAACACAATACCCCCATCCCGCTTTAGTATCTGGGTTACCACCTTAAAGCCCCATACAGTCTCTGAAAGTGGCCCAGGTCTGGCTGAGACGCCTGGGCTGTCTGGGTGGGGGACAGGGCGGAAAAGGGTGCAAGCGGTGAGGGTCTCCATTCTTCAGGCTACGATGGGAGATCAGAAATAGACACCACAGACTGTAGGTTAGAAACAAGGGGAAAAAAACGTCAAAACTGAGACACCAGGCGAGGATCCCCAGCCTTGAGTGTGGGGGTTGGAGAATAGGGTCCTTTCCTACACAATCACTGTCTCTCCGGGGGACCCCCTCCGCTCCTTCAGGGACCTCAGTCCTTCCCCTCCCCCGCAAATCTTGCGCCCTTTGCGGATTGGTCCCGGGCTGCTGGGGGGCGGGGCCCTATGGCCCTGACGTCACCGACTGGAGGGGTGAGCGGGCGCCTGGGGGAGGGGGTGACGAGCCCCGGCTCAGCACCTCGGAGAGCTCCCTCCCCGGCCTTGTTTTGCTTCGGAATCGCTGCCGGGGGAGGGAGCGAAGGGGCCGGGCACTAGGAGTCGAGGCCGAGGGATGGCAGTGAAGAGGCCGAAGGGCCCCGGGGGGCAGAGGGCCCAGCCGTGATCCTGCGAGGGGGCCGGGGCTCCGGGTGGGGTGGGGGGCAGCGGGTGGCGGCAGCAGTGGCCTCACATCTGAATGGAAGCGAGCTTTGTCCAGACCACCATGGCTCTGGGGCTGCCCTCCAAGAAAGCATCTTCCCGCAACGTGATCGTGGAGCGCAGGAACCTGATCACCGTGTGCAGGTGGGCGCCGCTGGCGGTCCGGGTGAGGTGGTTGGAGAGAGGGTTTGGGGAGGGCTGAGAAATCTAAGGGTTGAACATGCCTACGGGGATGCTCTACAACCGCTGAAAAAGGCAGGCCAGCCAGACTTAGAAGGAACGCACTCGCTATCCTTCCCAGGCCCGGAGCCTGGAGGCGGACTGGAATGCCGGCCCTTATTCCTCTTGATTAAGCCAGGCCTATGCCTGGCCTGTGGTTTTTTTTTTTGGGGGGGGGAGGATGAAGAGAGTTTAATTGGCACTGCAGCTTCCTGTGAGAACCAGGAAGTGACATTGTGTGTGAGAGGAGGAGGGGGAGGATGGCTGGCTCTCTTCCTGGCAGTGGGGGCAGGGTGGGCAGAGGGGACTCAATGGGGTTGGGGGTGGATGTCCTCCAAGTCCCCTCTTGCCACCCCTGTCATCTTGGTCTCTTGGGGTGGAGCTTTCCGAAGGGACTTTTCTAAGCTCAACCCTTCATGAAGCAAGGATGGTGTTTCTGAGCAGTTGCAGCCTGTGGCAGGTTCAACTGGGCACACAACAAAGCCCCTGAATCCATCAGTGAAGGTCGAGGCACTACCCTGCTATAGGAAAGCATCCAGGGCCTCGCTGCAGAAGCCTGGGCCCCTGATTGCCAGTGGAGACTGGGAGCCCTGATCCCCAAATCTCGGAGGGTGGGGCTGGCTGTTGCAGGGCTGGGAAATTCTCAGCTTTCTTGGACACCAGGAAGTAACCCTTCCCACTTCAGCCCTGCAGTGACTCACCCTCCTTGCCCTGCTCTGAGGCCAGAAAGCTGCCAGCTGTGCAGGCTCTCTCCCAAGCCCCCACCTGTCCTTGCCTCTTCCTCTGGGATCTCCATGCCAGCTGCCTTGCCCACCTGCAGCCTCCACACCCACCATGGCCACCAAATGCTAGGATTATGTTGCTCCTGGGTGCAAGGTTGACTGTCCTTCCGTGCCAGCTCCACCTGCCTGCACACAAACCTCAGCACAACTCCTCTGCCCACCCGATGCCCCGTCTCCCAGCACCCAGAGCTCCTTTGGGTACCAGGGCACCGGCCCAGCCGTGTTGCCTCTGTCTCAGAACCTCCCCTTCCCAGTGTCTCGAAAGTCCTGTGCGCACCGGCCCTGTGTGATTGATGGTGGCTGGGCTGTGTGGATGGAAGGAGTATATCGGTGACCTAGCCCAGAGCACAGACACTGTCTCTGCCCTCCTTCCCCAAATCCTGTCAGGGTGGTGTCAGGAGATTTCTGCCCTTGGATCCACATGGGCCTAGGATCAAGTTTTTGCTTCAGTCCTTAGCTGTGCAACCTTGTGGAGGTTTCCTAACCACTCTGAGCCTTTGGTGCTTTATTTTAGATCTTAGAGTTTTACATCTTAGACGTAAAAGCTGTACCACAGAATGGGTCATGTTGTGCCAGTCCTGGCACGCAGAAACAGTTATCTCAAAGACACCCTTCTTGTCCCTCCTGGCTCTTGGCCATCTAGGTGCATATTTTTCTTGCCTGCCAGAATAGCTGGGCTCTGAGTGTTTGGTGGGGGGGAGGGGAGGGAGCCACTTGGCCTAAGATGGAGAGACAGAGGTTCGGGTGACTGGGGGCAGCTCAGAGTGAGGAACAAGGGTTAGGGACATAACAAATTCTCCAAAGCCCCAGGGACCCCTGCTGCCTCCTCACTGTCACGTGGGTCTCCTCCAGCAGCTCCCTATAGCAGGCTGTAAGGCTCCCCTGGGCCCTGGCCTCCCTGTCTCCATGGTAACTCTCAGCTGCTAGGCTCCTTCTAACCAGGCCCACACCATGGGGTTCCTAGAGGCCCTGACCAGCTTTCCGCTCCCCCAAGGACAGATGGCAGATGGCTGCCATGCTGACCAAGCCCCAGGCCTCTACTGAATCTGACCCAGATGACCACAAATTGATGGTGCCCATAACAAGGCCCAGATAATGGCCTCCTGGCGGGGCCAGTCTTGACTCCTCACCTGGCCTGTGCCCAGAAATCCATAACTCTCACCTTCTGCCATCCTTGCCTGGGATCTGAACCAATGTTGAAGGAGGCAAGCTGGTATTTCTGTTAGCACCCAGGGAAAAGGCTTTGCAGCCTGCAGCCTGCTTCCCTCTAACACAGCCCAGCACTCACCTGTCTGGCCTCTACCCCTGGGGAAGCCCAAAGGAAGGTGGTGGAGAGAGGCCCTGTGGGTTGTGCTTGAGGGTCTTCGTGGCCAGTGTTCCCGTGAGACTTTTAGAGCAGACGACAGAGGGCAGGGGCTTCTCGGAGCCTCGGTACTTGTTTGTATCTTTGATTTTATTTATTTGTTTTTATTTGTTTGTTATTTATTTTTAGGCAGCCTCTCTCTGTGTAGTTCTGGCTGCCCTGGCACTCACAGAGGATGCTCCTGTCTCTGCCTGCTGAGTACTGGGACCAAAGGCATGTGCCACCACTCCTGGCTAATACTCTTTAAAAAGATGACATTTATGTGTTTGTTTACTTATTTTGTATGTGCATGTGCCACCATGTGAGTGTGGAGGTCAGAGGACAATGGATGGGGGTGGGGGCTCTCCTTCCACCACGGTGGTCCTGGGGTTGAACTCGGGTCGCTGGGCTTAGTGGCGTGCGCCTTTGTCCACTGGACTAGCTTACTGGCCAGTTCTCAGTGATTATGATAGCCACTAGGAAGTCGTAAGACAGAGTAGAATGAGTCAAAGATGGAGAATAGGGCAAACACTTGCCTCCTCCCAAGTTACATGACTCTGATCAGTCCATCCCTGGAGCCTTTAGTCCCCGTACCTATAATATGCAGAAGGTGGTCATGAGAGGATCTACCTCCAGGACGGTGACAAGGGCAGGTGGGTTGATACTTATAACAGTTCTGGACACATTGATTGGTGTGGTAAACGTGGGTAGAATAAAAGGACAGACTCAAGTACCTCCCCTATGCCTGGACCCCCGCTCCTGCTGTCTCCAGAAGCAGCGGTAGTGAGATGCTAGGAGCTGCACGTCCTCTCCTTGTCCCACTCACTGCAGAGATGGCGAGAGGAGACTACAGAGGGAAGATGGTGGAGGATGCAGGAGGCTTGAGCAAGGCTGGGGAAAGTGGTGGGGGCGGCTTGACTCCAACCCCTTGGCCTCACTTGCCTTCTTTGGCCTTCTCCCTGAGAAACCAGGGTCTGGGCCCCCACATCCCTTCCAGGGACCTACTGCCAGAGCTCCCTCCCACCTGATGTATGTCAGACCCACACCCTGCATTCTCCCCCCCCCACGCCCCTAGCTCTACACTCCCTAGCTCTGGGCAGCTGGTGTGTGGGTGGGCTAGCTGAGAAGGGGGAGGAGGGATGTCCCGGAGCTGAGTATCCACCTGGCTGTGCATACATGCCTGCGTTCCATGTGCACAGCTCATGTGCTCTGGCACAGGTGACCCCCAGCCCCAGAGGGATGGGAGCTTGTTCCAACAATGCTGAAGACCGTCTGGGGGTACGGGTGTAAACTGACTTCTGACTCCTGGCTGACCCTCAATCCACACGTACAGAAAATGCCACTCTGAAGGGTGATGGGGACAAAGGGTCTGGGGATGCTCCCTGAGCTCTTGCTGTCTCGTTTTTCTACATATGGCTTCATCCTCCCTCATACCTAATCCCTGAAGCTCCCTTTCTCTGGCTGTCTCTTCTGCACCCACTTTGCCGATCAGTGGCCTTCCTGCCCTCTTCCCTGCACCTGTTGCCGTCTTATCCCAGCTGGTTGGGAATCTCCTGGGGTCACTCTGGGTTCATCGGCCCCCACATCAATCCATGCCCTTCGTGACCCCTTCTCTGCCTATTCCCTCCTCTCCGACCCCCGCCCTCTACCACCCTGTCTGACCCTCCTCCCGTTCCCCTCCCCTCCCCCCAGGTTCTCTGTGAAAACCTTGCTGGAGAAATACACAGCAGAACCCATCGATGATTCATCTGAGGAGTTTGTTAATTTCGCAGCCATTTTGGAGCAGATCCTCAGTCACCGGTTTAAAGGTAGGCCGTCATCACCCACCCCTGCCAACTGCAGCCTGTGGCTCTAGCCACCACCCTGCTCTGATTGATACCCTCTATGGGTTCCTAAACCCCATCCCTGGTCCGGGGCCTGATTCTGGGCTGTACATAGAAACAAAAGCACAGTCCCAGGAGACTGGGGAGAGGGTCATCTGCCCACAGCTCCATCACTGGGCACGGAGCTCTCTCTGCCACCAAGCCTGCTGCTTACAGTGGGGGAGGCTGTACATGTATGCGTGGCGGCTCAGGCTTATACATGTGAGGGCTTTATGACATGAACCCTTTCCAAACTCCCTGGTCCTGAGTCCCCTCCCTGCCCTGGCTCAGCTTGTGCCCCAGCAGGTCCAGTGAGCTGGTTCAGTTCAGATGGGCAACGGGGCTTCTGGGACTACATCCGACTGGCCTGCAGCAAGGTGCCCAACAACTGTGTGAGCAGCATCGAGAACATGGAGAACATCAGCACAGCTCGAGCCAAGGTGAGGGGCTGCACGCCTGACCCCTGCTTTAGACATAGGGCCCTGTCCTTACCCCTTGCCTACAGCACTGGGAAAAGAGACCAGATCTGATGTTGGATACATTGTTCCCTCTGGGATAACTAAAGGTAACCATGTTTTCTAGGGCCGGGCATGGATCCGGGTGGCTCTGATGGAGAAGCGTATGTCAGAATACATCACCACAGCTCTTCGGGACAACCGAACCACCAGGTCAGACCTCTTGAACATGCACATTCATTGCCTAAATCCTAGGTCCCCACAGCAACCTTCAATACCTGGACTACAAGTTCCAGCATGCACCAGTTTGGCCTCTCCCAGAGGTCTTGGTAATGGGACTGCAGAAACCTCAGTCACATACCATTTTACTTGGCTTTGTGCCATGACCTACAACATGCAGCCCTGCCAGCTCTGCAAACAAAGGCAGTCACACTATTCTTCCAAGAACAGAGTTTCAATGTGTGGCGCTTCAGTGCCTGGCCTGGGGGTTTGCCAAGAAGGCGGGCCCAGAGGGTCATAGATCACAAGGCAGAACGTGCCATTGTGGGGTGGGAAACTATTGAGGTTGGGGGGGGGGATCCTCCAACCTCATTTTTATTTTTACTATGTTCTATCTATCCCCAGTCTGCATATTTCAGAGTTGTTTTTTGAGGATCTACTGTATGTATGACGAACACTAACGACTAAGACATGCTCCCTGATTTGAAGTATTGGGGTGACCCAGTGCTTGACAGAGGCTGCTTAGCTCAGAGAACAGAAGAGTGTCTCTTGTCAGGACGCATTCATATAATAGGTGTGGGGATGGGGTCAGGTGCAAGTTCCAGTGAGGGGAAACAATGACCACCGCTGGTGAGCCAGAAATAGTCTTCTTCCTCCAGAGAAGTCCTGGGCACGGGGCCGCTTGGGAGTCTCTGGTTTCCTCTCCCTGCAGACGGTTCTATGACTCTGGAGCCATCATGCTGCGGGAAGAAGCCACTGTCCTTACGGGGATGCTGATTGGGCTCAGCGCCATCGACTTCAGGTGAGGTGTGCATGGCGGTAGCAAAGGGGACTTTCTCCCCCAAAACTGTCCAACGCCCCTCATTCCCTCCTCCCCACCACTGTGGCTCTTCTGCCCCAGCTTCTGTCTAAAGGGCGAAGTTCTGGACGGGAAGACACCGGTGGTCATCGATTACACGCCCTACTTAAAGTTCACCCAGAGGTGAGCAGCCCCGTTATGGCGGTGGGTGGAGATGGGCACCAGAAGGGCGCCGAGCGTCATCCTGGTGTCACTGCCCAAGGGGCGGAGTTGGGGTACTAGTGGGGCGAGGCGGGGTGGAGCTGGCCCCACCCACTGCTCCCGCTCCTAAGCTACGACTACCTGACGGATGAGGAGGAGCGGCACAGCGCGGAGAGCAGCACCAGTGAGGACAACTCTCCAGAGCACCCCTACCTGCCTCTGGTCACCGACGAGGACAGTTGGTACAGCAAGTGGCACAAGATGGAACAGAAGTTTCGCATTGTCTATGCACAGAAGGTTGAGTAGGGCGAGGGGCGGGAGCTGGGCGTGGTGTGGGCAGTGTCCAGGCTGGAACCCCAGCTGGGACCCCTTTAGAAGACCGGGCTGAGCTGGTTCCCTACAGGGATACCTGGAGGAGCTGGTGCGTCTGCGCGAGTCGCAGCTGAAGGACCTGGAGGCGGAGAACCGGCGGCTGCAGCTGCAGCTGGAGGAAGCCGCAGCTCAGAATCAGCGTGAGAAGCGGGAACTGGAAGGCGTGATCCTGGAGCTGCAGGAGCAGCTGTGAGCCCACCTCCTGTCCTGCCCTGATCTCTGTGACCCCCAAAATGACTCCAAGGATGGCATCACTTTCCTGACACCAACATTCAATTTGCATCAGCCCACCCATCCCATCACCTCTCCCCCAAGATCCTGTGGTGGCCACACATTACCCCAACATTAAGATCTCGCAGCCTCCATCACCCTCCAGCTAGAGACACCAGGCTCTGGGGCAGGGACCGCATTACTCAGAGGACCTGGCTTTCAGCCTTATTGTACCTCCCCCACTGTTTAGGCCTCTGGTCTGCAGCACCCAGGGATCCCACAACCTAGACTATTCTTCCCTAAACAAATCGCAGCTAGCTAACACAAATTCCACCCCTTCAAGAGTACCCACCCTCTCCACTTTCCTCAGCCCAACTGACTCCTAAACCCTCCTTCACTCCAACTCCCAACATAAGCACACTAATTCCAGCCCCTTTTGCCCCCAGGCTAGCTCATACTCCTCCAACACTGCCTTCCTGGCCTCTTTTAGAAACAGCCCCATTAAGTAGCAGGCCTGAGACTTGTGCTCCTTCTGCCTCCACCCTCCTAGCGCTGGAACTCCAGATGTGTGCCACCATGCCTGAGCAGCACTTAGCCTCAGCTTTGCTACTCAGGATTCCTTCCTAAGCTCTGCCCCCAACTTTGCTGAGTCTTGCTTCCCCCTCCCAGCCAGGCCTGATCCCCCTCCCCCTCCCAGGACAGGTCTGATCCCCGGTGACCATGCCCCCCTGGCCCAGGGTTCCAAGGAGTTCACTACACCTCTGGTCAACCAGTGGCCCTCCCTGAGCACAATCAATAGGCCTGAGGGTGCCAGCAACTCCAAGCTCTATCGGAGGTAAGCCCCAACCCAATTGCCGACCCCAAACCCCACTCCCAGGAAACAGGGCTTGGAGCTATGGGCCCGCATGCTTTTCTGTTCTGCTATAGACACAGCTTCATGAGCACCGAGCCGCTGTCTGCAGAGGCCAGCCTGAGCTCAGACTCCCAACGCATGGGAGAGGGCAAGCGGGATGAGGAACCCTGGGGCCCCATCGGTGAGCGCAACCCCCATCCCTACACACACCACAGCACTCAGTATACTTCAGAAACTTGCTGGGGGTCCGCAGTGAGGCCATGGCTGAACCCCTTCTCTCAGCCCTTCCTGTGCTCACAGCACCAATGAGGAGCCTGGTTTGGGGTTTCCAAGAGAACCAAGTGCAAGCTGAAGTTGCACCCCCTCTACCTGTGAGCTTGGTCAGCCTCACCTCGCTGACCCAGATCCCCATCTCTAAAATTAGGGACATTGGTAAAAGGACTCTCTAGTGTCTGCGTGTGCAGAGGCCTCAAGGACATTTTAGTAAGACATCCTCAGGGCGCACACTCCAGGGACTCCTCACCCTAGCCTTTTCTTACCACAGGCACACTGTGAACTGCTTACCTGACCTGTTTTCCCCTTCTCTTTGGCTGCCAGGAAGCTCAGAACCAAATTAGTGACTCTCTCCGAGTGAAGGCCCAGGACTTCAACGCATGCATTTTGTGTTGATCCCCCCTGGCTCCACCTTGGTTTCTCCCTTCCTAGCTTTCCCCATGCCTGGACTTCCTTTTTTCTTCTTTTTTTAAATATATAGATATATAACTTCACTGTATCAGATAACTGGATTTTGAGTCATGGCAGGCTTTGGACATGTAACCCACCACACTTTTTGTGACTGTGTGTGCGTGTGTGTCTCCCCAATCAGACTGTGAGCTCCGTGAGGGCAGGGATCATGTCTTGTCCATTCTCTGTATTCCCAGAGTGTGAAACAGAGCAAATGCTCACTGTGTGCTTAATAAATGGACAAAGAGGCTAAACCTCAGGGGGAGACAGAGACATCACTGATGATTACAACAGTGTCCCACGCCCGTGCAAGGCATGCTCGATCAGGACTTAATTAAAAGTGGCAGAAGAGGCCACGAGTCTCCTGGGGTGACCCGAGGATTGACCTTTTACTGCTCATCCATGAAGTCTCCTGCCCCACATACACACAGCCTGGTTGGCCCAGCCTCACCCGCCCTCTCTCCCCAGGGAAGGACCCCACGCCCTCCATGCTGGGCCTCTGCGGCTCCCTGGCCTCCATTCCCAGCTGCAAGTCCCTGGCGAGCTTCAAATCCAACGAATGTCTGGTGAGCGACAGCCCCGAGGGCAGCCCGGCACTCAGCCCGAGCTGAGGAGCAGCATGGGCAATGCCAGCCCCACCTGCCAGGGACCACAGACAACTGCCACCATGACCCCAACCCAGGCAACCCTTCAAGAATGCTGCCCACCTAGCTGAGGGGCTCTAGGGAAAGACAACCAAACCTCTTTCTCGCTTCTGCTTCGGGCCAAAGAGGCAGGAGCTGCACTGGGAAGTGGTGGGGCCAGGAGCAGGGGGCACCCGGGGCACAGGTAGCCAGGCCCCTGGGGAGGCTGGTGGTCCTGAAGTCTTCCTGGCTCCCTTTGCTCATCTTCTACACCTGCCTCGGGAGCAGGTGGCCCAGCCCTGGCATTCCTGCTGCCCTGCCTCTGGTCTGTCCCTGTGTACCCTCTGAAGTCACCCTTCCTTGGTACCTATGTGGGGCAAGAATAGCAAATAAAAACCAGAGGACTGAGGTGGCTTCATCTCTGGGGAGTGGGGTAGAGCTCCATTAACAGGGTCTCTCTTGTTCTTCTTTTAACAAGGTCTCTTAAGGCAATGGTGTCAGACCAGTGTGTAGGAGGATGTGGAGCCGTAACCTAGGGCTTCTGTAGATCTGCAGTGAACTCTGGGTCGGACCCCCTCTCATACTTTCCCAAGCCCTGCAGAGCCCTCTGAGGGTGTGCCTAGGTGGGGCACTTGCTTGCCACAGGTGCAACTCCATTGTGGCCCAAAGTTGCAGTCCATCCATTATGCCAGAGCTGGCAAGTAGGCAAATCTGCCCCAGTGATACCACCCTGGCACGTACTTAGGGAGATCGCCTCTTGCTTTCACCCCAACACAGTGACCTAGCATAGAAAGGCCTCACCACCACTTCGGCAACCTTCTAGCTTCATTCTATCTGACTGGATACCCTGTAAGGTGGGAAGCTTTTAAGACAGGGTCTCTGCCTGGTCAAGGACTCACTGTATGGACTCAGATCCACCTACCTTCAACTCTCTAGTGCTGGGATTAAAGGTGTGTACCATCATGCCAGGTTTTTCGAGACAGGGTTTCTCTGTAGTTTTGGAGCCTGTCCTGGAACTAGCTCTTGTAGACCAGGCTGGCCTCGAACTCACAAGAGATCTACCTGCCTCTGACTCCCGAGTGCTGGGATTAAAGGTGTACACCACCACTGCCGAGCTTTTTTTTTTTTTTTTTTTGAGACAGAATCTTGCTATGCAGTCCTGGTTGACCTGGTACTTGAGGCAACCTCCTGCCTCAGCTTTCCAAGTACTGGAATAACAAGCGTGGGCAACTGACTGGAGACCCCCAAACGCACACACATAACCCAAGACACCACAGCCACAGCAGTGCACAGAAGGTCATCTTCTTTAGACAGGGGATAAACAAGGCTGCCTGGCCCGAGAGCCTGATTACCCAGGGCCAAGCTACAACAAACATCAAGGAGATACAAGGAAAGGGAACAGCAGGAGTCGAAATGTGGGGTACTGGATGACTGGGTTGGGAGGGAAGGCACTTGGCTCAGTCTTCTGTCCCCACCCATGCAAGAGCTGGTTGTTCCTCGCCTTTCAGTGGCCCAGAGGCTGTTCCTGGTTGAGCCTCTGGAAGAAGCTTTTGCCAAACTCGTACGTGCTGATCATGATGGCACAGGAGGGAGCGGCCTTGATGATCCTTGGGAGGAAACCTGTGATGGGAGGTCAGACCTTGGTTAGGGGTCCAGGTCCCTTCCCATTCACACATAAGAACATGGATGTTCATAGAACACGAACATGTGCACAGACAGGCACCCACCTGCAAAGAGTCCCCTGGTGCCCGATTCAGCTCGGATTCTTCGAAGCAGGAGCCAGGTGGAATCAACTCTTGGGGGCTTCACTGCAGATTCAAGGCCCAGGTCAGTAGTACCCAGTTTGGGCCCTGCCTGCCCTCAGCCTTGACTAGCCCCACTCACCTCTCATGGCCTCCACTGCTCCCAGTGCGATCTGCCGCTGGGTCTTCACCACATCGAAGGGTAGAGTGAGGGTGGCAGCCACCTGGTGGGATGGCGAGAGGGCTCGGCTGGGCACCCAGGCACCGTTCCGGCCCTTCCATAGCTCCGGGAGGGACTAAAGCATCTCAAAGATGGCTGAGGAAAGTGAGCAGGCTCCCTGGCAGGCACTGCTATGTGGGGACTTTCTGGGCATCCCTACTAACTCTCACTCAGGGTCCTGCAGAACACCCCTGGTGGCCTCACCCCCAACCCAGTCAGCTCACCATTCCTGAGATGCCACCAGCCACAAAGCTGACGCCCACGGATGTCTGGTCCTTTGGTCTTAGCCCGTTCAGCCAGCTCTTCACCAGCTCGTAGTTGAACCAGTACAGAGCTTGGGAAGTAGACACACTCATTACAGGTGGGGGCCAAAGTGGGCTCCAGACTTCTCACCTCCCACCCCAGGGGCAGGCTTGCCTGCCCTATACCTCAGCAAAACCCCTCCCTGCCAAGTCCATATCACAAATAAGGACCCCAAGGCTCGGAGAAGTGACAAGTTCATGGCCATTAGCAACAACGGAGGAACTTGGCTGGAGAGCCCTTGAACATTATCCAAGGGCTCTTTTACCCTGTGCCCTGAACCCAGGTGCCTACCTGAGAAGGGCACATCTCGAAGGGCTGTGGGACCCCAGCCCAGCCACAGTGAGCGCCAGCCCCCCTGGGCCACCGAAGCTTGAACACAGGTAGCCAGTTCCCGGTATGACACGTGCTGAGCCTGTAGCTTGGTCCGCACAAGTTCCAAGGGGCTGATCACTGTCACAGTGCCCATGCGGGCGAGGGCACCAGCCACCATGGGTGCATAGAGGTCAGAGGTCAAGGACTGACCACACAGGAAAGCCTTGAGTTGGTCGTAGGCAGTGAAGTAGACAGCAGTAGCTGGCACAGTCATCACCCTGGGAGCATGAAGAGGCAGAAAAGTCACCTGAGGGCTCCCAGTCCTCCCTCACCCTGCCAAGAGGATTCAAGGGAAGGAAACACCCCACACTGGGGTACTCACAGGGTGGCTGGGAGGCCGCTCCACAGGGTCCTAGTGCCCTCATGCCTCACGATCTTCACAAAGGCATCCTGATCAAGCCAGCACCGGCCCAGGGGAAAGAAGATGGACACTTGTGATGGATTGGCTCAGGCCTGGCCTGATGCCCTCAGCCTCTGCCCATAGTCCTGAGTCCTGATAAGAGCTAGTTTGCCCCTCAGGCTTCCACAGATGCAACTCCCCATATGATTCTAGGGGGGCTCCTACTCACCCATTAAAACCTTAGTACCAGAGTGCTGGACTAGCACACATTAGAATATTAAGGTCATGGTTTTGATTCTCAGCATCAGGACCAGAAGTCATTCAGGGAGAATCCCAGGCAAGCCCTTCCTACACCAACCGGTCAGCCACACCTCAGGTACACGGTGGCTCCTTACCAAGGTGCCAGTGAATCGGGTCGGATCCTGAAACCAGGTGGCACAGCGAGGGCCATTGGGGCACAGGTACAGGGGCTCCAGGACACCGTTGCAGTAGAGGAGACACTTCCCTGGGGATTGTAGAGTAGAGGGTGCTGGAGAAAGGGGGCGGGCATTAGGGCAGCAGGGCCTGGAACCTAGCTGGGTGGCAGAGCTGGTGGAGAGTCCTGTATAGGACTGCAGGCTGGCTAATGTGACCCGGAAGTACTAGTACTAGGTACTAGTCTATGACCAAGGGCACCCAAGGGACACTGGGACACACCTTCCCTGGGCCCTTCCCCGCTCCCGTGACTTGGGGCACTCACATTTGGTGTAAGAGAAACTCCAGAATCTGGAAGGAGGTGTCAGTTCTGAAATACAAGTCATCCACGGTGATCAGGAATGTCCCCCACACGGGTATCCCATCCCAGGAAGATCCTTATTTTGTCCATCCTCCGTCTGGCTCCAGGTTCAGGTACTCACCACTGGCTACTGAGGGCCTCTGAGACTGAAGGCGGACCTTCACCACATCCAGGGGTGTCACTGGGGAAGGAAGAAGGTCCGAAGGCTCCTCAGGTACCCCACTCACCCTCTTCATCAGGACCCAAACTGCCTCCAACCACTACCCCACATCAAGCCCCAGCTGCCCGCGCCCCATCTCCCTAGGGCTTACTGAAGAGGGAGGTGACCACAGCCCCAGCTCCTGAGGCCACCATTTGCTGAAGGGGGCTAATGCCCCCAGGATCCTGATCATCCATCTTGGAGGTTCAATCCTGAAAAACAAACCGTGGTCAAATGGCGTTTACCTCCTGACAAGAACGGCCTGGGGAGAGACAAGCACGAGGGAACGCACTCGGGGCTCATCCAGAGCTTGCCTTTATAACCTTGGAAAACTGTAAACGTCTTCACTTTGTCAAAGGGGAAACTAAGGCTCAAGCGTGACCTTCAAGGTTACGTCACTAGTTTGGAAAGAAGCTACAACAGCCTTTGGCCCTGGCCATTTTCTCAGCCACATGCTTACTATATGCACCTCCGGACTTCAGAGGCCAAAAGATCGAAACACTTGGGCCTTGCCCCTCCACCCAACATCTATCGGGGCGGCCACATGAGCGCTCTGGACGAGGAGAGGTGGAGCTGGGCATCAAGAGAAACGTGTAAACAAATCTGGTGATAGAGACGAAGGTCCATATTGCCTCTCGAGATTGCTGGCCCTCCCCCACACTGCCGGCCCAGGCTAGACCGGCCAGGCCGGGAGGCCCGAAGGGAGGCCACCCTCTCTCTCCTCTCTCTCTTAAATACAAGCCGCGGGCTCAACCGAGACGGAAGCAGAGACTCGGTAACAAACCCGCTCTCCAAGATTCGGCCGCACTCCATGCCCAGGCCCAGGCAAGGGGCGCCTGCCGAGGCCCACCGCTTCCTCGAGCCTCGACTAGGGTTCCCGGGGACCCTCGGAGAACCCACTCCAGTCCCGGCCCGCCCACCTGGCTCTGAGCCGGTGCTTGCGCCGCGCCGCGCCAGGGGCCTGGCGGGCCCATAGCGGCTCCGCGGCCGGTGCAGGGTCCGCGCGTGCCCGCTCCGCACAGCGACCGCCTAGGAAAGCGGCGGAGCTGGCCCCGCCCCCAGCGGCGCTAAGCTCCGCCCCGCGGGCCGACTGGCCGCGCGCACGGAGTGCAGCGGGACCCGCCCCCTCCCACGCGAGTCCCGCCCTTGCGCCGCGGCCCCGTGGGCGGGTCCCCGCTGCCCCGCGCTTCCCGCAGCCCGCAGGTCAAGGTCGCCGACTGCAGGGCGCGTGCACCTGGCTGCGGTAACTATCCCGCCCGCACCCCGCAGGAGCGCTGCCGGGGGAGTCCGGGCCTGCGATCGCTGGGACTTTGCAGACCGCGTGGGTACTGCTGCTCCGCGCCCTCTCTAAGGCAGGGGCCTCGAGGGTCGGTTCTTCAAGGTCATCAGAGCGTGGAGCAGCAACGGCGAACATTCGTCCACTGAGCCGCGTAGCGGGAGTGGACAATTTATGGCAGGAATTACCATCCTTTTCATTTCTGGATGATGAAACGAGGTTGCAACCCCGAAATGCTTTATATGGGGCAGGGCAGTCTGTAAGCTGAGCTACCGCCTGGGCCAGGCGTGGGGCCTGGGTAGTTTTACAGGACCGCTTCGAGCGCTCCGGGGACACCCACCCCATAAGAACGTGGAACAGGAAAGAAAAACATTGTTTCGCGACTGGTCTCAAACTCTTAACGGCCTTTAAAAGTCAAAACTTTTTTTTTTTCCTTTTTTGAGATGATTTATGTAACCATGGCTGGTCAGTGTGGGCCAGAATGGCCTCGACCAAAACTTTTTGTAGTAGGTTATTGTTGACATAGGCGCCTCCATTTTTCGGACTATAAAACATTCAAAGTTAAAACTTGAGCTTCTGCCTTCCCAGGTGCTGGGTGGGCTGGCATCAGCGCTGTTTCCGCACCAGCTCAGCACCCGCCTCGCCCGCCTCGCCTTTAAGACTTAGACACCGGCGTGGTGCTCGTTCTAACAAACGCGACCACGCGGTGTGAGCCTGCACCTTTAAGAAGAATGGGCCGCGGCTTCGACGTCACTACCTTCCCCGCCCCTCGGGTCCCAACTGGTCGCGCACGGCGCTGGAGCCGCCCAGCCAGCCAGGCTAGCACGTGGATTCCAAGGGGCCAACCATAACTTTTCCCTGAGAAAACCCTTGCGGCTGCTCCGCAGCTCGGAACCTCCAGCTTTGGGGGCGGAGTGAGAGCAAGCGGGTGGTTAGGAAAGCAGCCAATGATCAAAAGGCCCCGGTAATCGGTTGGCGGAGAGGCTGAGGCGGGAGGAGTCACAGGGTAAGGGGTCGAGGGTTCCCTGGGCGATACAGCAGACCGTTCCGTGTCCTTCCAGTCTCTTTTCACCCTAACCCTGGTTTCAAAGTGACACAAAAGTCATTTCACAAACAGTCGGTTTAGTTGGGAACCCAGCCTCTCCCAGCTAAGGTCCTTTCAACCTCAAAGTTAATCATTTATCCAGTTTCAGAGCAGAGATTATTTTCCTGTACTGTAGAGGGGAAAATAATAATAATAATAATAATTCTCTCTCTCTCTCTCATTTATGATTTGGAGGTTTGGTTTTGTTTTCTCTTGGTTTTGCAGGGTCTCACGGGAGTTCAGGCTAACCCCAAACCCCGTGTTTAGGCTAGGATGACCTTGAACTGAACCTCCTGCCTTGCCGATGCTGGGATTACAGGCGTGAGCAACCGTTGACCAGCTTAGTTAATACTTTCCCTACCCCGTGCTGCCGAGTTTACGGATGGAAAAAGAGTCCCCTGAAGTCATTCAAAAGAACCAGCTGTCCTAGAGGTCACTCTGCCCCAGCAGCACCGCCCACATACCTCAAGTTTCTGGCCTGTAAAGTCCGAGGCTGTCTGCAGCCTGGAGAGGTCGTGCGTGGGTGAGCAGGCATCAGAGTCCCTCCCATAGGGCTGACATACTGGGACAAGAACCTTTACACAGCTGAGAAACAGCAAAGCCCTCGTCAGACACGCTGGCTAGAACCGCAAGCCTGGAGGCCTGAGGAGGCAGTGGCTACTCTGTGTCTGACTGAGTGGGCCACTCTGTGTCTAGTGGGGCCCTGGCGGCAGCACGTGACCACCAAACAACCCCTGCGCACCGAGAGGACTGAGAAACCATGTCAAGTCCTGCCTAGCCAGGAGCCCTGGCACATGCGCGGAGACCCCTCCAGACTGCATCCCCAAGGCCTATGGAGACATTGACGGGTGGAGGCAATACTCGGACTCCAGTGTCCAGACTCCACCAGCACCCCCTTGTCACCTCTTTGTCTAGTGGAACCTTCCAGAGGCAAAGTGCCAGAGCTTCTGTCCAGCCACTGCATTCTGCCCCAGCCTTCAAGGAAAAATCCAAATTCCAGGTCCGGGGAGGGCTACATGTAACACGTGACCAGTGGAATGGAAGGGAGAGGAGGGGAGGAAGAGTCCGTGGAGGATTGGAGAAAAGTGGGCCAGCGTTGTGGTGATGTCCTATGACGCAGAGAATGGCAGACTTGACCGCCTGTTTGTTTATTTCATTGGTTTTTTTTTTTTTTAGTTTGTTTTTCTTTTTTTTTTTTTTTAATTCACCTATTTATTTTACATCCCAGCCACAGACCGCTGGGTCCCAGTCTTTCCCCGCCATTCCTCATGGTTTGGTTTTTCAAGACAGACTTTCTCTGTGTGGTCCTGGCTGTCTCGGAACACGCTTTGTAAGATCAGGCTGGCCTCGAACTCACAGAGATTTGCCTGCTTCTGCCTCCCGAGTGCTGGGATTAAAGGCGTGTCCCATGACTGCCAGAATATTTTATCTCTTTTGATTTTGAGAGAGGATGGAACTTATGTAGACCAGGCTAACCTAAAAGCCACTATGTAGGCCAAGCTGGTCTTGAACTTTCAGAGATCCACCTGCCTCTGTCTCCTGAATGCTTGAATTAAAGGTGTGCACCACCATGCCCACCCCCAAAGAATTTTTTTTTTAAATTTAAGTTGAATTTAAGACTACAACTCAGTGTTAGCATACGGACTTAGCACTCGCAAGGCCCTGGGTTCAGTCCTCAGCACTATTAAATAAATAAGCAAACAATGTGACTATCTAGGTTAGCCCTGCTGGCAGCAGACTCCCTGGCTTTCTCCTCTCCTACTTGGTGGCTTGAGTAGCAGTGATGAACGTGTCTGAATCCCAGCACTTCACTTGAGAGACCCTGAGTGTGGCCTGAAGCCCTTCCACACCCAGCCTCCGTTCTGGCTTCCGGAGCTCCGGCTGCTAGAGTGGATTTGTGTCTATTGTCTGCAGCTGTTTAGGGACGTGTAATAGCTGTCCATAGTCTCACGGCCTAAACCCCGACCCGCCAGGACACTTCTAGCCAATCGACTTCATAAGGAAAAAAAAAACAAAAACAAAAACAAAAAACGATAGACAGTTGGTTTTCCTCATTGAAGCCTTGTTTGCAACAGCTCTAAACTATGACAGAGAATTGCTAAGTGCCTGCCGTCCAAGGATCAACCTCGCACATAAAAGGTGACCAGAGATCTGTAGCCTAATGTAAAACAATCTCAAAGGTCAGATGCCTGGGCTGGGAACCGGCTCAGAAGTGGAATGCTCCACAGCGTCAAAACCAGAAAGCAGAACAGCAGGCTACGCTGGACGCTTGCTCGTAGCAGGACCGCCACCGCCCCCTAGGGGACATTTTTGAAATCTATGAAGTTAGTGCCACTTTGGATCATCAAAACATGAAAGTTTGGAAATGTCCTGTAAACACTCTGATACAAAATGAAACTTAAACAAACAATCACACGCGTGAGAAAACTTGTTCACGATTACCAGACTTAGCTGACAGCTTAATCCCATTTTCTGTGTATGATGTATGTATGTGCAAATGTGTGTGCGTGGAGACCAGAGCCAAACAGGGATATCATTCCTCAAGTACTGTCTACTTTTTGTTTTTTTTTGAGATGGGGTATCTAACTAATCCGCAGCTTGCTAAAGTAGTCTAGGCTAACCAGCCAGTGGCCCTATAAAGGCATGTCATAATACTCAGCTTTGTAGCGGGCCCTGGGGAATCCAACCTGGTACCTATGCTTGCAAAGCAAATAATTTACCAGCGGGGCTGGCACCCCAGCCCCTATGTGAGCATCTTTTTTTTTTTTTTCTGAGACAGGGTTTCTCTGTAGCTTTGGAGCCTGTCCTGGAACTAGTTCTTGTAGACCAGGCTGGTCTCGAACTCACAGAGATCCGCCTGCCTCTGCCTCCCAAGTGCCACCACTGCCCGGCGAGCCCCCTTTTTTTCTTTTCTTTCTTTTTTTTTTAAGCAAGGCTATGTATGCACCAGACTACAAAAGCCAGAGGAGGGCTTCTGATTCTCCTGGGAACAGAGTTAGAGACCACTGTGGGCTGCTGTGTGGGTGCTGGGAATCGATCTTAGGTCCTCTGCAAAAAGCAACAAATGTTTTTCACTACTACTACTACTACTACTGCTACTACTACTACTACTACTACTACTACTACTACTACTACTACTAGTGTCCCAAATTCTTTAATATTTTTTTTCAGTGTGGGAGAGATGGCTCAATGGTTAAGGCCCATGCCCTGCTAATACTCTCTGTGGTTTTCAACACAGCCTTTCCCTAAGCCCTTCTTGACTCTTCAACACAAATCTTTGTGGTAGGTACAGTTACTGTTCCTGTTTCTTCGCTGCCCCTGGGTAATTTCCACCTTCCCACCCACCCCTTCCCCAGCCTTATTCACAGGCCTTGTTTGTGACAGCAGAATGCCCTTGGGAAAGGAACTGCTAAAAGTGTGATAAAATCTCCACACAACAGCAGCACCTCTGCTAAACCGGCCTCACGGTTCCCAGAGGCTGTGGGAACTGTGTGCAGCAAATAGAGTGAGGCCTACCCCACCCCAGTCTCCAAAGCCTGTTTCTGATAATACCTGCTCCCCAGCTCTCCTTTAACGTCCAGCAGTGAAGTTCTAGGCAGGGCAGTATGTGAGTTCTGTCCCAGAACTCAGGCTGGGAGGAAGAGGAAGTCGGGAGTTCAAGGCCAGCCTCAGCTACTTTGAAAGTTCAAGGCGTTCTTAAGTTCTACAGTCTTCCAAC